GGTAGTGGTGCTGATAAATAGTTGGGGTTATCCAAAATTTCATCTTCAACTAGTTCGTGGACCAATTGGGGGTGAAGTTGGTGGATACAGGGTGCTACGGGGTGATGATGGGCATCAGAAAAGTGGAGACAGACAGAGGAGTGTGTATGGGGATGATTTTGACCATATAGGGGATTTATGTGAGGGATGACTTCCTTCCATTAGAGTTAGGGAGTATTGATGTCATCTTGGGATGAGATGACCACAAATTTTAGGAGACACTAAGGTTAGTTGGGGAGCACTAACGATGGAAATAATGGTGGTAGGAAGGAGGTTGGTGATCAAGATAGATGCAGGGTTATTCAAAGCTATGGTATAGCAATTCAGTGAGGTCTTTCAGCCACCTTAACGATTGCCACCACCAAGGGAAGGAGCATGCCATCACTTTGAGGGAGGGTGTGTCACCAATTAGTGTCAGACCTTATCGATATTCTTAGATCTAGAAGTATGAGATTGAGAAGCTGATCTGTGAGATGCTGGAGGCAGGGATAATAATATCGATCATGAGTCCTTTTCTAGCCTAGTCTTATTGGTTAAGAAGGATGGGAGCTAAAGATTCTGTGTGGATTATCGAATGGGTTGGGTTCGAGTTTAATAACTTGACCCATTTTAAAAATCGGATCAAGTTCGGGTTGACCTGAGAACTTGACCACGATCTAAGTTCAACTTGAATTTAAATAAACCTACGTATAAACCCGCGATCGCGTGGTTTGGGTCATTCACTCGTTCAGTCGTTCTCAGTTGACTTTCGACTCGTTCTCGAGCCATCAATCTTCCATTTAGGGATTTGGCTGGCTTTGGCCCTTGCTCATTTCCTCTCAACTCTCATTGTTGACGGTTCATGCCTACAAGCTACATCTCGCAGCCTCCATTCTTGTTGTCATTGGTTTAATAGTTGTTTGTATCTCAATCTTACTATCTCTTTGCCTATTTTAGCCGTGTTTTTGATTTTTTTGGACGTATTGATAGTTTTGAAATTTAGAAGTTAGATAGGGTTTTATCATTCAAGGTTTTTCTGAATTTAGGGTTTTGTCTATTTAGGGATTTTTTAGTATTATAATTTTTTCGTTTTAGGGTTAATATATTATGCTCTATTGGTCTTTGCCTCTTTGGCTGTTTACTGTAGCAATTGTTTAGGCTGAAATTATAAAACTGTGAACTGTTCGAGCCGTGATCTATGAGTTGTTTGCTACTGTTTTTTGTTAGAACTACGACCCGTGAACTGTTGGATGTTTAGGGTTAATATATATATTATGCTTCCCTTATGCAATATGCAGTTAATCAACAATACGATGTTGTGTTTGTGGTTGCAATATGCAGGTAAACTGTATACGAGATTTTCATTGTATGTTAAAGCCTTAAAGGCTGTGAAATTGTGGTTGCAATATTTAGTTTTTGTTTTTTTTCTTCGCTAGTTTAATTATTTTGAAGTAGTGAGGAGAGTGAGAGAGGGAACCAAGTTTGTCTACTTATTTGCTGAATTGAGTTGTAGCTTTGTATTTTCTGATCTTTGTTTTAATGTTGTAATGCTTGTCTAGTTGTTTTATTCTAAAGAAGTAAAGAGACATGATATCATTATTATCATTTGCATCAATCAATTATAATTCAAGGCTAACATCTCAATGAATGTATAGTTGTATACTATACTTTGTAACTTTGTTTATTTCCATTTGTTGAAAGCATCCAAACAGATGAAATAGAATTTGTGTTTATATAACAATGTAAATGTAATTTGTGTTCATTTATAGTTGCTCAAATAATGAAATAATCAATAATTATATGAATTTCAGTATTTTGCATTTTAATTGAATTACTTAAATAAATCTGAAATAGCAAAAAGGCCAAAAATTGAGAAGAAATGGGTTAACGGTCATTTCGAGCTGACCTGAACCCGGGTTCGAATTCTCGACCTATTTCCCTAATTGGGTTCGGGTTCGGGTTGAGTCGACTGGCAGCTAGTCAAGTTCGGATTAGACTTGCAACCGACCCGAAGACCCATTTTGACACCTCTACTGTCATATTTAAGCCAAGTTTTTTGTGTTGGAGACTGATGTATCAGGGTATGGATTGTGGGTGCTGCTCATGCAGAATCAAAAGCCATAGCTTACTTTAGTCAGGTGTTGACAGCTAGAGTCAGTCTATAAGAGAGAGTTGATAACTATTGTGTTGGCCATTCAAAAGTGGCATCCATACTTGCTAGGTCGACATTTCATCGTCAGGATAGATCAGAAGAGCTTAAAGTACCTGCTAGAACAGAGGATGGTGATCGAGAAGTACTAGAGGTGGCTATCAAAGTTGGGGTATGATTTCGAGATTCATGATAGGCCATGGCTAGAGAATAAGGCGGCTGATGTCTTATTTAGACCCATGGGGTAGCTCCAGGGGTTAGCCATTTCGATACCATTGATTTTGAATTGGATGGTTATTAAGGAGGATAGTGTTTAGGATGAAGGGCTGAGGGGAATTAGGGCAGATCTGCCAAGGGATGAGATTAGCTACTCTAGCTATTCCCTAGAGGGGGAGAGACTGCTGTATTATGGGAGATTTGTGTTGCCACGGACCTCAGTCCATATTCCTCACCTACTGTAGGAGTTCTATGGGAGCGCTGTCGGGGGTCATTTAGAGGTGCATGAAATATGCGGGAGGTTTGCGGCAGAGTTGTATTGGAAGGGGATGCATAAGGATGTAGAGGAGATGACAGCTAGATGTGAGGTGTGTCAAAGGAGCAAATGCATGAGATACCAGAATCTATAGTGTTCGATCGAGCTAAGGTGTTTCTTAATCATTTTTGGAGGGAGTTGTTCAGAATACATGGGACAATATTAAAGAGGAGCACCGTTTATCACTCATAGATGGATGAGAAGACGGAGGTGGTAAACAGGAGCCTAGAGACGTATCTGTGATGTTTTGTTTTGGAAACACATCGGTTGTGGGCCAAGTGACTAGCATGGGCGGAGTATTGGTACAACACTTCATATCATTCAGCTTCACGAATGACTCCTTTCAAAGTGTTGTACGGGAGGGACCCACCTCACTTGGTGTACTTAGGGTGGAGTAGTACGCAAGTTTCGTCGGTGGAGCAGTACTTGGAGGAGAGGGACATGGTGTTGATAGAATTAAAAGGCATTTGTTGAGGGCTTAGTAAATCATGAAAAAGTAAGTGAATGGACGTAGGAAGGACGTGCAGTTTGAGATAGGTGATAGGGTATACTTAAAGCTTCTTCCATACAAACAAAGGATGGTAGCTAGCAGGAGGAATGCGAAGCTAGCCCCGAGGTACTTTAGCCCTATGTCATATTGGAGAGGATTGGAGCAGTAGCTTATCGATTGAAGTTGACCTCGACCGCTACTAAACTGTTAGACCGGTCAATTGGACCGGTCCAGTCCCGGCGGAACCCTCCGCCTCTTGTACGCCCGATCCGACGCCCAAGCACCGCAGAGCTGTTTAGGAAGGTTTTTGAAGAGAGTTAGGAGGAAAATTTCAAAGTAGGGTTGTTTAGAGATTTCCTTTTGGATTGTATGCATTAAATAGTTTGTTGTCCTAGGATTAAGACTTCTTGAATTTGGCTGAAATTTGAGATCCCTTAGGTTTTTTTTTTGGCCCTAGCGGCGTCTAGAGATTTGGGAGAGATACATCCTCCCCTCGACTAGAGGATCAATTGTATCTTGCTATTTTTCTTCCGTTAGTTAGATTATTGCAATAAAATTTACAATTTTTTTATTTTTCCATTGCTTTTCGTGGATCATTCTCTATGTTTTTCTCTCTCTTGTTAGGAAATACTTGAAGATCTACTTGAGATCTTCAAGTATTTCCTAACATATACATTCATTGCTCCATGTGTCACAGTTGAGGAGAGCTATCGATGATTATGCAGTCAGTTCAGAGTTACTCATGCACTGACAGAGAATTTGGAGGTAGTGTTGGAACAATTGGAGCTGAAAGGGATATGACAGGGAGAGGGAGGGATCAAAGAAGTGTTTGATAAAATGGAATAATCTTCCCGACTATAATGCCACATGGGAGCCATATGAGAGGGTGAAGCAACAATTTCTATCTTTCCATCTTGAGGATAAGGTGGGTCTTTGGGAGGGTATTGATGGACCGGTCCTTCTTGGACCAGCCACTCTTGGGCCGTCCCCTCCTGGATCGGCCAAATTCTATAGCAGGCGGAAGTTCGTTCTGAATGAATCCCGCCCCCCTTGGGATTGGGCGGGATTGGGCACATGGAGAAAATTCAAAGGAAGGAGGGGCGGCTAGGAGGGAAAATTTAAATGGAGAGGGCTGTTTTGAGAATTGATATGATATTGTATGTTTTAAGTAGATTGTTTACCCTAGGGTTGAGTTTTTTTGTTTTGATTTTGCTGAAATTATATTTTCTTAGGTTGAGAAGGCTCTAGCCGGTGGCAATGGATTGGGGAGAGCTGGATCTTCCTCTCCAATTAAAGATCTAACTGTATCTTGTGTTTACATTCATAATTCTTTCAATAAAAAAGTGTTCTTGTGTATTCTTCTTCCTAATTTTCTTGTGTTTGTTGGTTTTGCTAAAATTGCATCCATTTCCTATCACTATCATGGTTGTCTGGTACATCTAATTGCATATTACAGAATCACATAGCTAAAAAGAAGCAACTTTATGTTCTGATCTGGATCGCCAATGATCTTCTTTTATTGTGTTAATATCTTTTTTAACTTTTAGTATGTTTCAAGTTTGGGAATTCATGCTTGTAATATAAAGGTTCTATAGAAATATTTATTATGCTAGTTCCCTTTTCTATCATTCTTTGCACATTTAGCAAGTTTTCCTACTTTAAATTCACCATCGTTCGTTATTTAACTATATTTCAGGTTTCTTATAATATATCACTCATTAGTTCTGAGCAACTTTAATAAGGTTATCTACTAAGGCTGCTAGCTATCACATATTTCTGTCATGCAACTGAGTTACTACCATGTGAATCAGGAACTACCTCAAAATGATTTTCTAAGCGCCGATTGCCAAGTTGCTGCTGCCATTGACTATCCACAATTTAATATGAATCAAGATATGCAGAATAATCAGTATATCGATTTACATGCTTGCGGACAGGATGCTGTTACACTCTTACCCCATTTTCAAGAGATGTTACCAATGATATGCCCTCCTCCTGCTGCATTTTTGAGGCAAAAATGTGCACTTTGGGATTGTCCCAGGCCCACACAGGGATCAGAATGGTGTCAGGATTACTGTAGTAGCTTCCACGCAACATTGGCATTTAATGAAGGCCTTAGTGGTATGATTCCTGTGGTTCGTCCTGGAGGTATTGATCTAAAGGATGGTCCTCTTTTTGCTTCTCTCACAGCGAAGGCTCAAGGCAAAGATGTTGGTATACCACAATGTGAAGGGGCTGCAACAACGAAGTCTCCTTGGAATGCACCTGGTATGCTTTATGTTTGTGTTCTTTTTTTGGTAGATACGGAAATTATAAAGTTTACTCCTTGTTAGTGTAAATGAATTGAGATCAAGTGAGATTAAGTATTGTTTGACTTGGCTCATTAAGTAAACAAGTTAAAAAAAAATAATTTGTGTTCAGCTTATTAATTTATTGAACCCAATACAAACTGATGTAGAACGGGAAGGAGGCGTTGTAAAAGGAGAGGAAATTCCTCTCCAAAAATCTGAAATATTTTCTTACAATCTTGTAGAGAAAGAAACCCAAATCAAACCTGAAATGAGTTTCAGGTTTTCTGATAATGGGGATGGAGCTTGGGAGGAAAACTCAAGCTCAGGGCTTGAGAGAAATTCGGCCGACAGAGAGAGGATTGGGTAATTAATTTTTTTCAAGTAATTGGCTGCACTTGTGGAAAGTTTTCAACCCAGCAATGAGGAGAAAGGGGGAAACGGGACAAGGAGATGGAGGGAACAATAAAGTTCTGGATTGTTTCCAAGCAAGGATTGAGGGAAATCAAATCCTTAATTCCGTGAGATGAGTTAGGGAAATAAATTCAAATTCTTTTCTTTAGAGGGAGCCGGGCCAAGCCTTGAGGAATTTCAGCCAGCAAAGGAAATTAGAGACAGGATTTAATTCCCCAAGACAAGGCTGATTTTGGTAGGATTTGAACGGTGCAGGCCAGAGAAGAAATTCGGCCAGCAGGCTTTGAGCTTTTGTAAAATTCGGTTTTTGAGATTGGGGAAAATAGGCTTGATTTGTTTCCAAACAGGACTTTCCTATTGGAATTAATCAAACAGACAAAGGCAAGAGGGAATCTTGGCTATGAGCAATTTGGGGGAGAAAAGGAAATAATTATTAATTAAAGCCAAGGTGGGATTTGTGGAGAGCAATTAATGTTGCTTGATTTGGATTTGAATATTAGGAAAGGGGTTTTAAAATCCTATTTGAATTTTTAAATTCAAATAAGTTTTAATAAGGAAATGAAAGAAGAGCTTTTGAAAGTGGGAACAGAAAGCAGAGATCCCTGCCAGACTATAGCGGGCGTGGCTGGCATGAATCGAGGAAGCAGATCATGGAAGAATTTGGAGGGTTGAAGAGATCTTATTATATGGATCCTCAACCCTCTAACCATTTCGAATGGCATCTTTTCGAGTACGAAATCAGTAACTGCGACGCCTGCGCCCTATATCGACTGGAATTTAAACTTGCAGATCACAAAAAGAGTTGCAGGGCGAAGCCTAATGTCGATTTACTTGACCTGCAGCAGCAAATGGGGAAGCTCAGTGCCGAGCATTTCTCTGACAAGAAACGCCACGCAAGGCATCTTTTCGAGTACGAAATCAGTAACTGCGACGCCTGCGCCCTATATCGACTGGAATTTAAACTTGCAGATCACAAAAAGAGTTGCAGGGCGAAGCCTAATGTCGATTTACTTGACCTGCAGCAGCAAATGGGGAAGCTCAGTGCCGAGCATTTCTCTGACAAGAAACGCCACGCAAAGGGCAGAGCAAAAGCCAATCTTGATAGTTCAGAATGTACTCAGAAGGAAATTGGTGAAGGTGCTCAAAATGATAGTCCTATCTATGGGCCTCACCTCCCATATGCTTATTCCATAGACAGCTTAAATAACTATTATGGCTCCGACTTGAAGTAGCAAGTGAGAAGTGGAGATTACTGATTTTGCTTCAGCTTTTGCTTCTGCTTCTGCTTATCTTTCTTGTCCTTTTTTACAATATCGAGGCATAATATTGTTATCAAGAGCAATACTGGATTTTATTTCGTGGGAGTAGCATTGGTTATTATCAATGTTGGGGTGAATGAAGCATATTATTAGTAACATTTCAAGTGATTATTGGTGTACAGAGGCTTTTAGTATAAGGTAAGGTGTATATTCTATATGATGTAAGGCTCTAACTCTGTTGAGGAGATTTAGGCTTCGTTTGGGGCGGTTTTTTTACTGCTTCTTAAAACAGCTTTCAAGTACAAAATTTTTAACTTTTGTACTAGAAAGTTATTTTAAGAAACACTAAGAAAGCTGTTTCAAAAGAAGCCTTAGTTTTCCTTTTTGCTTGAATCATTTTAGTATGTTATTAGCTACGGTGCTGCTAAGGAGTTGGCACCATTTATTTGACAATGGAAAGGGTTTGTGCTATTGTGATGTTACTTGTGTGTGCTTTCTTATAAGATTAAGAAATTTTTGTAGATTTTCTTATTTTTTATTTTTTACGAAATGTTCAGGCTTCATATGAGATTGTATTTTTTTATAGTTGTTTTTTAGTATAATTTTTTTTTTAAATTAAAAATTTTTTAGCTAAAAAATAACTTTAAAAACAGTAAGAAAATTGTCATAAATAAAGTTGTAGGCTTTGTTTTTTTTTCAAGCAGTTTTTTAGTACATTTTTTTTTGAATTATAAATTTTTGTACTACAAAGTTATTTTAGAAAGTAGTAAGAAAGTTATTTCAAATGAAATTTTAAATTATTTGCATTCATCAATTTAATCTTCGATTCGTGACAAACCATGTGCTCCCATGTTTTCATCTTTTGCTTATGCTTTACGTGTGTCTTTATGAACTCGGTCGACTCGAGCTTTATTTGGGTGGTGTTGGTTACATCAATAATAAAGTCTACATCTTTTATTAGTGCTATTTTTTTTCCCTATGCATTTAATTAGGAGTGTTAAAATGAATTAACATGTCAGATTTATATTTGACTCAAAATTGATCTGATCTAAATCCAATTATCGAATCTAAACCCAGTTGACTCGAAAGCAACTCATTTAATAAATGAGGTAAAAGGTGGACTTGAACATGACCAGTTAGCAATTCAAATGATTCAAACTTGACTCAATAATTTATCTTGATTTAAGAAAAAAAAAATTATATTTTTGATTATATGATTTAGAATAATATATCAAACATTATAAGATCATACTAATGAGCAAAATAATTAAAAAAAATCAAAATAATATAAAGAAGAAAATTATATGGGTAATTTTTTTGGTCAAAATTGGATTTGTTAGCCTAACTCAAATTTGACCCATCAATTAAATGGGCAGGAATTTTGGACTTGAATTTAATCGATTTATTAAACAATTAGTTAATTTAAATATTGATTTTTTTGGGTCTATTAATCTTGTTATATTAGGTCATTTATTTACACCCACAAGACTTATTATAAATGCATAAATAGGCAAATCTCTCAATATAAATATAAATAAGGAAATATATTTTGATACGCCTTACCTAAAATTAATTATACAATCTATAATAGGTTTAGCTATATTGCCTACTCATGTGCCCTTAAAAATCTGCATGCATAAATATTTTTGCACAATTAAAAAAAATAATAATTTAGTTCATTATCACCTGCTCATGCATCTCTTTCTTATGATTTAAAAGTTAGTGGATATATCCAAATAATTTGGTTATCAAAATTTATTACTAGATTTTTATTTATAGAAATTTAGTAGAAGAGGGTAGTAGCTCCAGTGGCACATAAGATTAAAGAGACTCGTCTTAGATGGTTTGGTCACAAAAAACGACAATCTTCCGATGGATAAATTATTTTGTTCGGTCACCGGACGGAGTCTAGAGGCGAATCAGATTCATCGTGTCATTTTTTTGTTGTGTATAGGGGCCGTGTACCAGGTAACGTGACGCATCCTGATTCGCCTCTGGATCGTCCGGTGACCACACAAAATAATTTCTGCTTCTGATGACCTAGTTAGGAGAGTAGATGTATTAGACTTAGTTTATGTTAAGAATACGTGGTTAGAAAATATTAGAAATGACCTTTCTTTATTAGATTTAAATGAGAATTTGACTCTTAACATGACACAATGAATAAAAATAATTCATGTAACCGACCCATATAGTGGATTAAGGCTTGATGATGATGATGTTGTTGTAAATATAGTCATAGAGGATTGGTGAGATGTGTTTGTGACAAAATTTATTGAATCATTATAAAGTGCAATTCCAAATATGGTATGGAAGGAAGGATATTAGGTAAATTTGTGACAATTATTTTGACCTCTTGGTTTGTTTTGTTCTTAAGATCATTTTGTATGCATTTGCTTGTTTTGGCAATTTTCTAGATTCTTGTGTTGAATGCTTTTAATCCATGGTAAAATAAGTTTACTCAATTGCTTAATTATGATTTTGATTTTTACTTAGAAATTATTAATTTCATGACAAATATTTAAAAGAAAAAAAAAACAGTAGCATACATTGAGATTTGTATCATTGAGCCGTTCTATTTGTCTATAAGCATGCCGCAATTTAATTAATGCTCTAAAGCTTTCGATTAGGCTTTGATTCTATGTTTTGGGCTCATTTTGGTTTGGATTGGACTGCATTTGATGTCATTAGGTTCGTCTCCCTGAGGTGATCAATTTGACTATAAGTTTGCAGAAATCGAAGTTTGGATGATCCTGAATTTAATTTTGAAACTTTTGAATCACATTTACATTGAGATTCATACCCGATCAAAATAAAAATTTTGATAACATATTATTAGTTGCCCCCTATTTTCAAACATTGAAGTTACAAAGTCTGAAAATATGTATTGGAGCTTTTGAAAATTTACAAACGTGTAATTACAAATTCAAACAAATTACGTGATGTAAATGCTTCCGAAGCAGGCAGATCTTCCCTCGATGTCGTGAACCAAGTAAAATGATTTGGATTATGAATTGAACATTACTTCAAATCCGGGCATTGATTTCATAAAAAAATTGTTGAATTTTTTTTTCTTAAACTTTAGGTTTAGTTGGCATTGACTGTAAGGGCTTCGTTGGATTTCAAACGTGTTAAAATTGAGTACATAAAGTCTAAAAATGATTTTGAAGATTCCAAAAATATTCGAATTGGACCGTTCGGACCAAAATTGAGCTCCAACAAAGCTTGACGATTGAATCAGCCGGCCGGCCGGCCAGCCACCAATGGCCCCAGCGGGCCGCGTAACCTACGCGGTGGCGCGCGCCTTACTCGTGCGGATGGGGTGCGCGTACAGCAATTCCCTTCTAGTGTTTTTTTTGCTTTTGCCATCGGTGAGGCGACAACGAATTTGAGGTAGCAAAACTAAGGAATTATTTTATATATTTTTAATTTTTTTTAAAGAAAATACGTCAATGGATTTTAAATTTCAAAAAATTGATATAATTTTTTTTTAAATAATTAGAAAGCTTTTTTCTCTACCCCTCCCCTTGCACCTATAAGTACCTCCCATGGGAGAAGGGAAAAGCACAATCTCTTGTGCCGGCCCAAGTTTTCCATTTGATTGGTAGTTTGGGGATAGTCAGTGGTGATCAAAGCCTCATTTTCTTGTGCTGATCCTAGCTTTCCTTTAGATTTATAGCTTGGAGAACATTGGTGATGATCAAAGCGAATGTTAGTGGCGAGCAAAGCCTGATTTTCTTGTGTCGATCCAAGTTTTCCGTTAGATTGATAGCTCGGAGAATATTGGTGGTGATCAAAGCCTAATTCTCTTTTGTCGGTTCATATTTTCTCCCAAAATTTGAGAAATGACGTGACGGTGGCAACACTTGGGAGGATATCCGGCATAAACAATACTTTAGAGGACATTCAACGATAATCAATAGACAAGCAGAACTCCGGTGATTGTTTATGTTTGGTATTCATCTTTTTGGAGATAGTATGATAGTTGACGCTTATGGTGAATATCTTGATGGAGGGGATCAAACACTGTGTCAACCACAACAATTTAGCAGCACACTCATGTTGCCAATTAAGTGGAGGCTTGATGGTTTGATGGTGGTTTGAAGGAGTTTTGTAATGTGCTGATTATTGCCCCATAAAGGTCTAATTGGGCACGTGCTCCTCCAACATGATTTATTACAGTGCATGGGATGATGTTGATTAAAACACTTTACTTCATATAATTTTAATTTTAGTTGCTTACGAAAATGATTGTACATTCGAATGTGATTTAGAATTTTACATTTTTACTTTTGATATTTACTTTTGAAGTAAGAAATGCCGCATATTCAAGTAAGAATATTTTTTGTTTGTGAATTTCCCCCCCAATTAAAGCAACTTGATTAAAGAGATTTATTACTTTTGCAATTTTTAATTTTGATGATTCAAAGAAATATATATCTTTTGAGGAATTTAGCCTTCTAAAAATTTTAAATGAGTGGTGACCCTATCAGTCACATGCACTCATGGAGTTTGTTTAGTAAGGAACATGCCCACTACTAATTTCCCTTTAAGGCTACCCCATGAGTTTGCATTTACAAATTTATTTGTTAGAGCATTACTCGATATTATTATCTTGTATTGAAAAAGTTTAAAAATTTTTACAAGGGATGTTTGACCTATCTGAGGTTGTTTGTCAGAGCATTGCTTTATGATGTTAACATGTCTATAAGAGGCCGAGAGAATCCACAAATGATGCTTGACCTTCCGAGGTTATTTGTCAGAGCGTTACTCGATGATGTTAACTTGTGTGGAAGATGACCGATCGAACCTCTCAGTAATTGATCTTCCAATGATTGAGATACAATGAATATTGTATATTTCTTGAATCAAGGATAAAATGATAAATTTTATATTTTGTTTGGGATCATCATTGCAATCCTTCTTGGAAAAGAAGACGATACTAATAACGAGAAAACAAAATCTTAATATATTAAAGAAGACAATATAATGATTCTATGATATAATTTAGATACATGAGGGCTATATAATAGTCAATTCAGAAAGCATAATGTTTTTTTTATTATTTTATATTTAATATTTTATCTATTTAAATTTATTGAAAAGAAGATGACTAAAAATTAAAATAAAATTATAAATTATAACAAAGTTATTATGTTACATCGCAAAGGTTGCGTTAAAGATCAGAAGATCGAGATTCGAGAGGTATAGCAGTTCGAATTCGCGAACGAAAACGCTTCCGCTCGCTCCCCTCTCCACATCGCCGCCCCCCCTCTCCATATCGCCGCCTTTCTCTGTACTTTCTAGATTAACGAGGTAATGGTGAGGGGCAAGTTCAAGTCAAAGCCGACAGGCCGGAGGCTTTTCTCCACGCCGGAAGAGATGGGTACTAACTTCTCTTTTTCTTTATGTTTAATCTATACTCGTATTGGTAATGGGATTCCAGAGTTTACTTTTCTTTTGGGATTCAGTTATTCGTTGTTGACTTTGCAGCAGTGCAGATGGGATTAGGTTTGATCATATGCTACATAAATCTTTTTCCATAACTTTGTTTCTGTGATGATGTTGTTACTCTATTTTATGTATAGTGATTCATATTTGATTCATGTTAAGATGCAACCAGTTGGACTAATTTGAGTTAATTAATATTATTGTGTACATGGGATGAGGATGATACTTTAAATTTAACTGTTTGTTGATGCTAAAGTACCTATCTATGCTATCAGGCTAACATGAAACTAAAGGTATTTGTTTTGTGGTTCGTGGTGTAGATTGAACTTTGATTGGGACTTGGGGGACGGAACGGAAGGAGATTAGTTGACTGAAAATAGAATAAAAGGAGGATATAGATTTTATTTTATTTTATTTATTGGTAGTTCTAACTTCTAAGAGAATAAAATTATTTATTTCTTTCTTGGTGGAATTTGGTAGAAATGCAACAGAAAAAAGAAGAAATGGTATAACTTATTTGATATATATACCCTTTTAGGATTAAGTACTGAAATATTTGCTTAATTAAATGCTATTAGATTAAGATGACAACACAATTAATAACTACTTTACCTCCTATGTTTTCTTTTATTCCCATTTCAAAATCCTATTAAAAAGAAAAAAAAAGCTCTTTTTGTCTCAAATTCATTTATTTTCTCTCCAAAATTAGAACTCCTATTTAGAGCGGAAAAGATGAGATTCAGGCTTTACTGTCTTATAGATACACGAGTAGAATAATGGCAACTATTTCCAACTTAGGCAATTGCAAGATCCAACCTCTTTGGGTGATAAGAGTTGAATTCAAGTGATCAAACCTCAACTTGAAATCATAAATTTTGATTTCAGCTCTATTTTCTGTCAAGTTTTGGTAGAGTAAGAAATCATTAATTTTGCTTTGACTCAATCCTAGACTGTTAGTTTAAAAATATTTTATAAAATCATTTGTGTTTGCATATACTTTATAAAATCATTTGGATGAATGTACATACCAACATTCATAAGTGTTTGTATGCATATGCTTATATATACATAAGCTAAAATTAAGATTACCTATTTGAAATACAATATAATTAGTTTAGTATCCAATATTCTTTTCTTTCTCTCTTCCCCCCATCACCATAATTTTCCCAATTTTGAGTGCAATAGGTGAAAAATTATGATATGTTGCTATGACCAATTGACAACCCAAAAAATTGGTTGCTAGGAATTATTTATTGATCTTAATGTTCAACCAACAACCCTATGTTTTGGCTGCAACTTGATATGCTAACATGATTTGGATTACTGCTAGCTAGTAAACTACTTGGATTTGTCCAACTTAGGTGTTCTGCCAAGGTTTTGGTGCAATCTTGGCATTCTGCTATGTTTATCCAGCCAACTAAAGTTTGTTTGCAGCCCCTTGAATTTCATGTTGGGTTGTCCAAACCTTGTAGAATATCAATTGGTAGATTTGTTGGGTTGAACTCAAATCTTACTAAAATATGTGGATTGAATGGCATGATTCTTGTTGGTTGGTAAAATTCTCTGTGGATTGACATAATTCTCAATGAACCACTTTCAATCCAAGTAAATAATTTGGGTTGAATAAACTTTAGAGTACTAGAGTTGGAACAAACCTGAGTAGATGTTAAGTCGGTTGTTCTCATACATTTGTAAATATTTGGGTTTGATGCAACCGAAGTGTTTCACTTTGTTGAAATTGTTAAATGAAGGATCATTACAGTGGCCTGAGGATCCTTTTACTTGATTAAGGATACTATTTTGGATCTAGGTTCCATGGTTGTTCAAAATAAAAGTAAAAACTTCAGGTGGGATATGCTGGTTGGATCGCACTCACAGGATATGGTGAGCTTATCGGCCTGTTAAGATGATCTCAATTATTTTTGTGGGTAAGAAGGATTAAAACAATATCAGAGTTAATTATTAAAGTTTTGAAGTGTATTAATTTGCCAAAAAAAAAAAAGTAGCTTCATTACGAGAATTAATAATGTTGTTTTCTTTTATTTATATTAGAGAGACACTGTATGGAGTTATATACAAATTTTCCTTTTTATTGAGTGGTCCTATTTTGAGAAGGGGAGAAGGGAGACCGATGATTCCTGCATGTGCTATTTTCATATTCTCAGTTTCTCCACTTTTCTGCACCTATAAGTTGTGTCCTTGAATTGGTCAATTGATTGTCTCATAACCAAATTGAAGCAAAAAAAAAAAAAAAAATCATAAATGTTGGTCCTTAAAAGTGTGCTTATGGATATTTTAACTTGATCAAACACAATGCTTTGGTAGGCTTTTGGGGATGTCTGTATCTAGCTGCAAAATTTTTCCGTCAGAAAATAAGGATGAGAAACTTAGTTGATGATCATAAGATATAGTTTGAGTACTACATTATGGGTAACTCTATTGCAATTAAAATTCTGTCATGTAAGCAGGTATTACAGTCTTAGTTGTGACTTTCGAATCTTGAGAAGCTATGTATAGTTTATGATGAGGGTCATCTTGACTTGCTTCTGATTTATTCCCCGTGCTTTTGTGCTGCAGCTGCAGGAACATCATCTCGTCCTCGCACTTTTAGAAAGGTAGAAACTGCTCAAATTATTTTAGTACAGCTAATGTCTTCAACACAGTTCTATTACAGAAGTTACTCATACTTATGTCTTTTTGGGATATTCCCTATTTTGTTTAAGTTGGAATGGAAATTTATTATCCTTCTTTGCTTGTTAGTTTTTTTTTTCCTTCAACATTATTTTAATTCAACCGGTGTCTTCAGGACTTTTTTGTCCGAATAGTTGTTCAAAATGACATCACTTGTTTGAGCATCCCTATTTTGCTCAACAAGAAGTGGAAATTTATTATCCTTTAGTTGCTTGCTAGTTTTTTTGGCCTCTAACTTCACTTAAGTTGAAGCTGCCTATTTGACCATTATAGCTTAACACGGGTGTCCCCATGATATGGCGCATGTATGCCTTCAGTGACTGGAAATTTTCAACTTTGCTATTTAAGAATGAAGGGTATGAAATGAGAAAGTAAGTAATTTGCAGTAAACTAGCCAATAGTGGTGGGAAATGTCCCAAATGCATGCAGTGAGTTGAAGTTTGTTGCTTTATTGTTTCATGCTATTTACCAATTCAATTTCTGTGTAGTCAATGCCTTTTTCTCTATTCGGGAAGATCCATGATGAAATTTGCAGGTATCCAATATTTTTACTCTACTGCTACATGGTGCAAATATTAGAGTGAATGTAGAGTACCATAGTTCAAAAAGTTTCGTTAAATGTTCATCTTTAGCAAATACTGTCGTTAATTGATTAATTGATAAGTTATATATACTAATTCTTCCTACCTCCCTATGAGTGCAACTTGGCTTAAGTGTAAGGAAAGGCACACTAAGAGAGAGGAGAGGGGTTGAATTAGGTGTGCAATGATTCACTTTAGATTTCTTTTGAAACCACTAATTTAAAACGCACAATGAATGTACTAATATCAACTTAATATACAAAACTAAAATTACTGTGGTTATGCTTAAATATATAACACTAAAGCACACAATGCAAACTATAGATCAAATCAATAATCTAAACAAAATAATTATACAATCTATGTGGACAAATGTTAGAGAAAACAAATACACAATCTGTATAAACTAATTGGATTATACTTGTAATTTTTCATAACCTAATTTATCACAATCAGTAATATTAGATAACATACACTTATAATTAATCTAATCCTACAAGTTTGATGACACATAACATAACTATTAAGCCCAGTATCAAGTATTAACTCAACTACAAAAGTATTAACTCAACTACAGAAGTCAATCCAGTTTAATGTTCTAACACCAAAGTTATAATTGTGTCCACACTATAAAGAATGCGAATTTATGTTATAAGTGAAGTATTTAAGAATTTAAGCACATGTAAAATGTTTTTCTATACTTAATATAATAATATTAATTATTTTGATAGTCACTGAAAAGAAATTCTAGCATAAGCAATTCATTCCAAACAATTAATTAAATGTGGAGGTTGTGCAACCTAAATAAACTAAATTATAGAATTTGAGATGCCAAGAATTTTAATATGGTTTGGCCAACCCCAATGCTATGTCCACGCGTAGCTAACATCCGGAAGATTCCGCTAGTCGGAGTTTGCTTGGCAATTAGCTAACATCTGCCCACTCTATTTACAGGCGAGTGTAACACAATGTACTCTCATGTGCTAGGCGAGTACAACCCCAAACAAAATACAAAGTAAACAAAACAAAAAACTAAGAATATAAGAAAAATTTTATGATGAAATTCAACAAGTAAAAATTAAAATGAAAAATTAAGAAGCAATCTTACATACATCAGATTGCTTGTAAAATTCCTAAATATCTTGCAAATGATGGAACCTTCATGAGCTCAAGCTTGGGGGACTTCGTGTGAGAAAAGATATGAATTTCAGGTTTTTGAATTCTTTTTGTTTTGGATTTTCTCTGAAACTGTTGTAAGTGTTGAGCTATATATAAAGAAGCTTAGAAATCAATTTGATAAACAAAAGAGCTGTTAAAAGTGCATAGAAAATTTCTAATTTTGGAAAATCCCTCAACAGCTAAAAAAAACAGTTATCGAGTTTGCTATGTGCAAAACACGCCTTAATGGGTTTGCATAAGCTTAATAGGTCTATTGAAACAACTTAACAAGTTTAAAAAGCTGATCCCCATTTTTTGTGAACCCATTGGGTTATGGGTATACTCAAGTCCATAACGGTCTCTATTGGTAGTAATTGAAGGCGAAACAATGCAGTATCAGCAAATGTAAGTGGAATGCTATTGAAGGAATTAGAAACATAAACTTATCATATAATTTATCAATTTGTATACAAAAATATTTGGGATTTATGGTGATAAATTTAACACGTAATTTTTATTATATTAATGATTTAAATAATTAGAAAATAGAAATTTGAAAAAATAGTTGAAACATCAATCAAAATGAGTTGGGATTTTCCTGAAAGTTGTGTTAGCAAAATTATAAACAACATTTTTGTCAAATTTTAAGTATTCGGTCATTAAAAATCATATTTGAGATCTTATTAGATGTACCAAAACGAAAGCTTACTCATCTAGGACATTTAAGTATTATAATGATTCAATTAAGCTTGAAACTTCATTTTGAACTCCAAAAGATGTACCCTTGATGCTTATAAGCTTCTTATTGGTATCCATCATTCTCTTAACGATTTTCCATCATTCATTAGGATTGGTGCTAACCTTCAATCCTGAAATTACTAAATGTGGACTTTAGTAACCTTGAAACATATGTTTGCTATCTTCAAAATTGAGCTCTCAGATACTAACTTTTTAAGACAAGCTTATGTTAGTGTTGACCTCCACATCAGATAAATGAAATAAAAAATGACTTGAAATCATACCTCTGCATCGCCCCATGCCCATATCCTGCACCAAATCCCGCAGATATCCCGCCTCCTGCTACAGCACCATTCCCTGCACACGGCGCCGAAGCAGAGCTGACCACGCGCGATTTCGCCTCGATCACATTTCCCAAACTCGTCGTTAAAAACCGCACCAGCTGAAGGCTTCGGGACACGATCGCTTCTCCCTCTTCCTCTCTCGATACCCCCCGCAAACCACACGACTCTTCCTCCCCAAGTCTCCGACCTAAGCTGACCTCCCGAACTCCACCTCCCTCTCCGACTGCACAACACCCGACCTCCTACTCTTATCCCGTCGCCCTCCCTGTGCCGACGCCAAAGCCGAGCTCCACCTCCCTCTCCGACTCTACCCCGACCCAGCTCTTGCTTGAGCCGTTCGATCCATACAGAGAGAGAGAGAGAGAGAGAAAGAGTGAGTGAAGAAGCTTACCTCAGCCTTGGCCGATCTCCACTCGATCCCTCTCGATCTCCTCATCCTACTGAGCTCCCTCTATCCAAGCCGCAGGAACACCCATCCCTAGTCGTCCCTTGCCCGACCACAGCTCCAAGCCGAGACCCCTCCATCCCTAACCGACCCCCACTTAAACCTAAGCCGACTCACTCACTCTCCCAACTCAGTCCACTCAAACCCCTCTACCCGACACTCTCCTTGCACTGTGATATAGGTAAAAGGGGTTGATCTAAAGTTTTGTAATTACTTAGTTGGTGCTATTATTGGAACGTACATCTTACCCCATCTTTGGCTACATAAAAAATAATTACCTGCCCTCTTCTGATATCTTATATGAACGTCACTGTCATTTTCACACAGTTGTTTAAACGAGTTTTCAAAAGCCAGTAAGAGTTCTGCCTCCTTGTTATCTTAATTTCAACATAGGGGGAAATTTCTTGTGTAGGGATTTGATATTTAGGTTAAACTTCAAAAATGATTTCTAATGTGTTTTGAAACGGAATGTCATTGCCCTATTATGATACCTTATAAACTTCATTTCCATGTTTCTTGATCCAAAATTTATGATTTTAGCAGGAACAAGAGAAGGAAGAGCTAGAAGAAGAAAAAGAATTGGAATCTGAAGAGGAATCTGAAGAGGATTCTGAAGAGACTGAGGTAGTACTTTGGAAACTCTAATGCTAGCAACACTGAGATTTACATAAGTGGTTTCCTAATTTCACAGAAAAGGAAAGGCACTGAAGGCCTGATTGAAGTTCAGAACCCAAACCTGTTAAAGCCAAAGACTGTGAAAGCTAAAGATGCTAATGTAAGTGCTAAAACATTCCCTTTCTCAAATACAGATGCATTTGTAATGTAAATAGTATTCAACGAGCTTGCACAAATATGCTGAATTATCATTTGTTAACCAGCTATACCACATTGAAATTTAGATTTTCCTATGCTAATTTCCACAATTAGCTTGATTTTGCTATAATATTGGATCCTTTTGTAGTTGCAACCCAACCCATAAATTTGGAGTACCAGGTGGGAACTGACAGTTGGCTGAAAATTTAAATACTTTCTATTAACATTAAAACTTTCTAAAGTATTTAACAAAAAAAATTCCTAAGAGAATATTTTCCATAATCAAAATGCCACTAATATGTTTGCAAAATACAAACTAATATGCACGTTTCCTGGTGGTACCTATCCTCAATTGCATCTATTGTGTTATGCATGCTCTCTTTTTTAATCAATCTAAATTTGAGGAGCCTTTTTGAAAGAAATGATTATCAATTATTTGAATTGGTTATATAAATAACTTAGTAGCTTATTATAGTTCTAAGCTATAGTAATTTGAGAATATAAAACAATATGGATGCGCGTCTTCATAAATCAAATTTTGTATTTCATATTAATATAATTGTAATCATAAACTTTAGCATGGTATTCAATTATGTAAAAGAGAACATATCATTTAATTGGATATCTATAACATGAGTTCAGTAAAGGAATTTCTATTATCATAACTTATCTTATAATATACCGGTTGCAAGAGCACCGCCTGTAGCTTAAGGTATATCCACATCAATATTCTTTTCCAAACCTTTCTCTAAACTGAAGTAAGGGAAGGCAGTGACCTTTATGTGTGGGTAAAAACGTGCCTAGTTAGTATCATAAAGATGAGCTCTATCTGTCAACATACACACCTAATCATTCATATAGAACACATTCTTTGCATTATGTTCATCAGACATTTATTTTTGATAAGAAATTTTACATAACATTACAAGAGATAATCATTGGAATTTAAAACAAGAATACTAAATAACATTCAAAACAATATGACGGTTTTGTGCATGGAAAAGTGAAAATTATTTTAGACAATTTTCAAAGGTAAATTTGTGGTAAAAACATAATCAAATGCATATAAAATGGGCTTAATACTCAATACATCACATTTCGTAGAATGAACATAGTTACTATAAAATAAAAATATAATTTCCCAACTTAATCTTGGAAGATCTGCCACTTAATCTTTAATCTTTCTTTCTTTTAGCTTGATACCTATAACAATATGTAATTAATTATAGGATATTGATGCTAAGTAATTTATATAAGTTTTCTTTTAGTTATATACCTCTATTTATTATCTTAATTTTATTATATATAATTCTTTATTAATAATTTACTTTCATTAAAGTATATAAAATTATACTTAGTTAATTTTCTTTTTTATTTTGTTATATCAGTTATAGGTAATCTTTGACTTAATATTTAACTTAATGTTTAACTTATCACTACAATTAGGCATTTCTTTTTTGAATTTTATTTCAAACACACATAGCATTCAAATTTTGTTTACCTTGCTCTTTTATCTTTATTTAAATTATAGCTTTAATATTTCCAAAATTACTTTTTTAATATAAAGCATAAAACTCTGAATCAAAGTTTATCCTATTATCTTCTCATTTATTTTGATTAATTAATTTATCCTAAATTCATTATTAGGTTTGAGATTTTTTATATCAATCAATCGTTAAAATCTAAAAAACAATATCTATAAAATAATAACAATTTAACTTTCATATTACATCAAATTTTTTTTTAAAATTATGTTTTATATGCATCTCTGTTTAAAATTGCGCAATTAGAGGCGCGCCTTTGCGCAATTTGACCAAAAAACGCCTCGAGGCTTACGCAATTCTTCACCTGGCTGAGGCGTACGCCTCACCTGGACTAAGGCGCGCCTCAGAGGCGCAATTGCGCAATTCTGGGTGAGGCGTACGCCTCACAGAATAGGCCCCACCCACTTAAAATGAAATACTTTAATTTATAGTTAATTTTTTAAATGTTTTACAAAAAAATTATGGGTAATTATTAATATTATTTATTTTTAATAATTATTTTAAGTTATTATATTTATATGGTGTATATATTAGTGTATTGATAAATCAACAAATGTATTATTTTTATAGTAGTATCACTTTAACCTTTCAATTTATAGGTTCAAAATATTTTGGTCATTTTATTGGTCTTTAATAATAGAGATTGATTGTCCATTTGACCAGTTTAACCTATGCAAGATCAATTTCTCATTTGTTAATTGCGAGGAGTCAACCCACGCTGTAAAAGGCTTGGACAACTTTTTAGAACCCCCATTGATTTAGGTCAAATTTTTTTATTTTTTAATTTTATTAGATTAATCTTTCTTATTTTGAGTAATACGGATAAGGATATTCTCATCCTTATTTTAGGTCTTTTTTATAAATATGACTGCTTTTATGAATTTTTATTGATTAATGAATTATTAATGACACAAATTATGAGTGTTCTTTGCTTTCTTTTTTGATCCAAGTTGTATATATGTATTTCTCCATGTTTTGTAGTAACATTTTCTCTTTTCTTTATCTTCATCACTTTCTTTTTCCTTTCCGAAATTTGTAACTTGTTCTTCTGCAATCATTCTTCATCAATTGATATTAGAGCTAATATACTATCATTTTACTTTAAATATTGAACTATTTTCCCGTCTGCTTCAAAAAATGAATTTATTTGTGTCACCCTTGTATTCTTTTTTGCAAACCCAACACACAAACCTAGATTTTATAGTCTTAAATAACCCTTAAACCTTGCACCTGTGCATCTTGAGACCCCCAAATTTGATAAATAAACCAAAACCACATTAAGAACTGCTCCTCACTCGCACAATTAGCACAATTAAATATTTTAATCTCTCACAGCTTACCTCAAAAGCCTGTGATTCTCTCTTATGTGCCCCATGCGCAGAACCCCATCCTTCGATACCCATTGATCCACGGCTCTTGCCCATCGTAAACCATAAAATCCTTTTCTTCTCAGTAGACCACGTGTTGACTCAACCTTCTTTTTAATCATTTACCTCTTGCGTTGTGTGCTCACGTCTTCACACTTTTGTATCCCAATGTACACTTTTGCATCTCACTTGTTCGGATGTCATTTTGTGGAAATCCTATAACCATTTCTTGAAGTCTTCAGGTTATAACCAGCACTTCAACAATTGTAGAAATCTCCCTATCAATTGTCATCAATTAATTCATCCTGAAATCATTCTAGCTGCTGACAAGTGGCAACTCTAGTTGTTCTACAAATTTCATTTAAGGAGATCTTATCTCATGTTCAAATCAAGGAGATCATGATTTTTTATTATTTTGTTAGTCACTTGTTTTCATGTGAAGAGGAGTGAGATCATATATTTAATTTTGTGAAATTTTCTTTACTATTTTAATTTTTTATTTTTTATTTCGTTTGACCAATTTTATCATATTCTATTCTAAGATCATTAATTTGATTATGTATATCCTAAAAAATCTATATCATGATTTTGTCGGTCACTTGTTTCCATGTGAAGAGGAGTGATTTCATATATTTAATTCTGAGGAATTATCTTTACTTTTTTTTTTTTTTAAATTTGACCAATTTTTCATGTTCTATTCTAAGATCATTAATTTGATTTTGTATCTCCTATAAACTCTAATCTTTTCGGTCTCGATGTAATTAGAAAATATACGTGTTTATCTTTTATATTTTTCAACATAGTATCTGAGTTATTCTTCTCATATTTATAATTTCTATCATTCTTTTTTCATTCGGTTCAAATCGTGTTATCGTGTTGATGGTTAGACACGGAATGACATATGATAAAAGCAATTCCTCTACAGCCACTGATCAATATCTCATGGTAGCAATGGGAGCCAGTTAAGAGATCTCCAACCTTTTGGTTATCGGATACAATCTAAAAAGACAAACTACTTGTGATGTTCTTCAACTGTAGTATCAAGATTGATTTTCTCTGCTGATGCCAGTCCTTCATTAAAATAACAACAACAACAATATCAAGCCTTTATCCCAGTCCTTCATTAAAAGATCTAAAATTTAGAATATGGAGATCTAAAAACATATCAATGTACTAGCTTATTAACATTCTGAAAAATGAAATTGGGCAAAATGCTTACGCTTTATAATACTTTTAAGCATAAGATTGTTTTATACAAATTCTATTTATTATAAAGTTGAGATAATTTTAGCCCAGTAAAAACTTATAATTGATCTTTTCGAACTTCCTATAATGATTTTTGCTCCTGTTCACTTCCCATGACGTTAAGAGATATATATTACTTAAGATTGCAATTTGCTTTAGTCAAATCTATAAAAAATTGAGTTATTTATGCGATGGCCAAATTTGTTATCTAGTCCTTCGATGGTCCACATTCTACATATCTCATAGATATATGACATGCAGAGCCATCCAACGCCCATGCCTTTAGATCTTTGTGTGTTCTTTAAACTCTTCCTATTGTTGATCCATATATTATGGTTGCTTCTTCCATTAGATGATCCACTGGTGCCACCTTGATGTAGAACTACATGCTAAATTGGAAACTTGCACAAGATAGTTTAAGAACAATTTCAGATTTTAGTTATTCGTGATTAAAACAACAAGGTAAAACTCATAAATGGTCAACTCCGTTAGGCTAAGCCACACAAGAGACTAAGCTAAATCAAAACACATAGGAAAATTAAAACCTTGCATGTGGAGTAGTTTCCAACTTAACCAAGACATAACAATGAGATCTAATAGCAAAGAAGTAACAAACCTACGATTACTAATAGATGACGATTAGTAGACACAATCTCTTGCTTGAATAAATCTCAATAAAGTAAGTAGAATTTGAAAGTAAGTGAATCAAGAAAGAAGATCACATTCCCGGAGAGTCGTTGTGAAATACCACTTACCGTTCGTTGGTCTTCTTCACCAAGCACTATGGGAAGAAGGAATCTCTAGGGATCCGTCAAGGATTGAAATCACGCCGACGACGGAAAGTGGAGAAGATTCACGATGCCTTGACCGTTGGATGCAAGATCGGAATCACATCTTGAGTCGACCATAAGTCAATATCATGTAAAGAGAGAATAATGAATTGCTTATGAGGCTAATTATTAGCACTCTTCTTTATCTTTTTTGATTCAGGTTGAGTGCGTGAAGTTTTTACCCCCTATATCTTCTTTTCTTTCATCCTTCTCTTAGAATTTCACAAGTTAGCAATCATCCTCCATCTTTAATGCTACTTGAGGATGCCACCCTCCTAAAATTAATTTGATTCGACTATGTTCAACTCAGTGGAAAGTTGTAACCGATTAGACGATAGCCACGTGGAAAGTTGTAACCGATTAGACGATAGCCACTTCTGAACTTCTATGAGAAACTGTGTGATGAGGACATCGATCCAAGGTTCAAACAGGTGTATCGCCGGAAGCATCGCAGATCGACGGCCACGATTCAGAGCTTATATTTTAGTTATTATGCATTTTATTTGATGTATTCCTTTTATACCCTTATGTTGAGTTGAGTCATGTTGGGGCCCTGAGGGCAATTTAGTCTTTATTTCTTCATGTATACTTGAGACCTATATATATGTGTCTTTTCTCTTGTAATAGCTAATGAATATTTTGAATAAAAAAAATTTGTGTGTTTCTACTTCTTCTTCTTGCATGAGAGCTTGAGAAGGGAGAGAGCTCAAGGGGAGCAAATCGCAAGGCCCACCAGTCGTTGGAAGAGTCCGCGGCTCGTGGTTAGGTTTTCTATCTCCTCCTTCGTATTCACCTCCATCTTCCTTCTCCTCCACAAGAAAATCCCTTCCCAACCCTTCATTGCCGCCACCCCTTGGGAACCCGCCACCGGCCACCACCACAACCCCGGCCGGCCACCTCGCCGACAACTTCCCCCCAACTCCCCAACCGTCCAATCCTCCCTTCCGCATGCTCCCAAATTTGAAATTTGAATTTCGAATTTCAAATTCTTTCCTAATTTGGAAATTTGCTTTAGTCAAATCTATAAAAAATTGAGTTATTTATGCGATGGCCAAATTTGTTATCTAGTCCTTCGATGGTCCACATTCTACATATCTCATAGATATATGACATGCAGAGCCATCCAACGCCCATGCCTTTAGATCTTTGTGTGTTCTTTAAACTCTTCCTATTGTTGCTCCATATATTATGGTTGCTTCTTCCATTAGATGATCCACTGGTGCCACCTTCTCGGCCTTGGTTGCTTCCTGTGAAATCTACGTAGTGGAGTTGTTTGTCAGCCATGCGAATTATTGTGCAATAAGGATTGAATGACCATTCAACCAATTTAGGCTTTTTTCATTTGCCAATTACAAGCTAACAAGCTGAATTAGGCCAATTTTCTTATTTGTTCTTTAATTTTATTGGATTAAGTGTAGTAAATATGAAAAAATTTTCATCCTTATTGTGGGTAATATGGATAAGAATATACTCCTACTTATCTTATGGTTGTTTTTTAATTAATATGATTACTTCCATATCATTGCAAATTATTATCAATTAATAAATGAATTGCTTATGAGGCTAATTATTAGCACTCTTCTTTATATTTTTTGATTCAGGTTGAGTGCGTGAAGTTTTTACCCCCTATATCTTCTTTTCTTTCATCCTTCTCTTAGAATTTCACAGGTTAGCAATCATCCTCCATCTTTAATGCTACTTGAGGATGCTACGACTATGTTCAACTCAGTGGAAAGTTGTAACCGATTAGACGATAGCCACTTCTGAACTTCTATGAGAAACTGTGGGCAATTATCGTCTGTCATCACTAGCTTCTTCACATCTATTTTACGTTTGCTTTGTGAATTCTTTATTCGCATTCCTATCAAGTCTTTCATGTACTTATAATTTTCATGTGCTTTTGTTGTTCTTTTCATATTAACTTGTGCATACTCCTCTTTCTTCCTAACTCATCAATTCGATCTCCCTAATTACTCATTCATATTCTGCTCTGCACTTTGCATGTTCAACAATCTATTTTCTAATCTTATCTTGAAATACCTGATAATCTCACCCTTTAATTTTATTACAATTTTTAACGAAAATTTATCATTTATAACCTTATCTTTGTCGGTGCTTTCTGCAGCTGAAAATTTATATAGTGAATTTGATTGGTCAATTTGACTGTTGAGAAGTTACAATCTGCCTCTGATTGTGCTGACTGATTGTGTTTTCCCTCTATGCTAATTGTTATGCAATCTTAAGAATCTCGCGTAACTTTAAAATCTCATTTTTGTCATGTAGTTTGAGAAGACTAATGAACTTTCGAGGCGTGAAAGGTACGTGAATGCCTTTGTTGTCTTTTTCCATTGTTATCTAGCTAATTTTCCTTCCAGTGAAATCTTTGATTGTCACATTCTTCCCTGCTGATGAACTCCAGAAGTTATATGGTCATTTTATAGACTAATATTTTTATAAATGCCCATGATAAGCATGTAGCAGTTAGAGACGCCTAGTATATGGTTTCAGAGCAGAAGCAATCTTAAGTCTTTTGTTGTGTATATAAATAGTGCCAGCATGTTAAGTTAGTAAACTAGATATTGAAAACATGGATAAGAATTATCTTGGTAACTGCATTGTAGGAATTTCAGTGGTAATAAGTTTGTGTTTTTATTAGCAACCATAGATTAAAACAAATTTGGTGGAAAATGGCCATTCGAATGAAGTAGTTTAACTGTCAAATTGTCATGAACTACTTATTACTTTACTCTTTGGTAAATATCTAGAAAATCCTTAAAAAATTTTAAAGCTCAGTTTTAGAAGAAATTAGTGATTTAAAATGCAATGCTGTCAGAAATCAGATAATGATTTTCTGTTCATGAATTGGAATCTGAATGCTATATCACAATCTGGTAGATTTGTTACTAGAATCAAGATTGACTGAAAAGGGCTGCCTTAATAACTTCTTAGGATACAGGTGGGGTGGTAAGGCCGCAGTCATCTTGAATGAGCTCAAAAAACTCAAACAGAATGATGCCCTTTTTCAATGTGTTACTAGGACTCGTATATCCTGATTAATATATTTTTTAATGTGTTTTTTTAGACACATTGGCTTTCTCAGTGTTGCAGTCAGGATTAGGATTTTTTTAATGCAATTTATATGCTGCATATTATGAATCCATACAAAAGATATTGAGGATTCACAAATCTTGAGCCATCAAATAATTGAACAACTTATTTTCTTTATATATAAACATAGAATATTAGAATTAAAACTCAACTGATAACAAAATGATTGAAATAATCCAAAAAATGTAGCAAGAATTTAGATATTGAAAAGTTTTTAAAAGCAAATTGTAATTTAATTAGCATAAATAGAATTTCCAATTTGGTAAATATGAACAAAATCAAGAACTCTAATCAAGCAATGAAAAATTAATCACGTCAGTACATGGAGATAAATTATCTTGCAGTTATACATTCACATTTGTACTACACTCGAAGGAACCATTTGACTTGCATGTAGAGAAATATAAATTATTTATAGATTTATAGAGAAGACATTCTGGTTACTTCTACCACAAATTAAGACATATAATTTGATAATTTGAATTGACCCCTTTGATCATTTGATATTATTTAGACATTTTAGTGCTTAATGTCTCAAAATTAAATGATTTTCGACTTGTTGATTTTCCTTGTCGAGGCATTCATTTTGACTATAAACATGCAAAATTTGGAGGACGTTTTCTTTTTAAATTTCATCAAGAAGTTTCTAATTATGTTTCTAAATATTTGATTTAGACCCATTTCATAGAACTACACTATTTGGGCTACAAGTTTTTTGAAAATAGAGTTCAAATGATCTTGAAATTAATTTATTAAATTTCTTGTTCAAATATTTGGTGTTTTGAGATTTGCTTTAAAATTTGTGCTTGATCAGTTGTACTTTATGGTTACATCAGTTACCGTAAATGTAGTATCCCCTGCCTATATTTGGTAGTGAAATTATGCTTCTCCCATCATTTCTTGAGTTTGTCATTTGCTGGTTTATGTACGGTTGGTGGATATGACAATAATACTCTTGGCTATCCTTATACTAACTTTTGTTAATATTTAAAGTTTAAACTAATTAGCCTGAATGAAGTATCAAATCAAAACAAACGGAAAGCTCCATTAAGCACAACAAAACTAACTTATCTATCATCGATTTGCTAAGTTCGGCTAGTGAATATTTTTTTTTTCTAGACAAGGCTTCTTAAGTTCGTGGATTGAACAATGTATTTTGATTCTGGGATTAAGATGATATATTTTAGATTTCTTTTTTTTTTTGGCTAGTGTTGCTTGCAATTGGTGGTCTGCATATGGAGGATGGCGTTATTGGCAATTTTACAATTGCTCTTGTTTCTACGACTCACCTCCGTTTGTATTTAAAGTTTAAAGTAATTAACGGGCATCATATAACATAATTAATTAATGCTAAAGCTACATTTCCTTTAATCTTTCCCATTCCAACTTGCTTAACATGGATTTCCTAAGTTTATTCAAATGCTAAAAATTATTAGTGAAGACTTTTTTGGCTTGTTCTGCTTTGTCGTCGTAGAAGGGTTAAATGTAACAGGTCAGTGGCTTTCAAACTTGTTATTTTGGAGGTCGTGTGGTATATGATTGAATACACCTTTTAATTTCCAGTGCTTAGTGACCATCTCTGAAATCAGTAATGGAAGTCACATTTTTTCCTTTAATCACCAGCTGCATTATTCGTACAAGTTTCTAATTTTTTGTTTGCATATTTACTCTAATTTCGTCTTTTGGTTTCACTTTATTTTCATATGAACATAAAGACGGTTAGTTCTATAACTTCATTGCTCATCACAGAGAGGAAATAGAGAAGCAAAAAGCTCATGAACGCTACATGAAGCTGCAGGAACAAGGAAAAACTGAACAGGCCAGGAAAGATCTTGGTAAGATTCAATTTTGATCTCTTCCACCTCTTGCCAATCTATCACACCTTGTGCTCGGAAGCAATGGTGCCGTGTCTGAAAATAATATGATATTAACTCTGTTAGGATCGCGATCCTAATTGAGCTTTTGGATCTGCGCAACATTCTCAAAAGAATAGAGAAAAAGAGAGTTAATAAAATGAAGGGAAAGAATATACATTCTTTTTTAATATCTCATTCTCCCAAAATGGGGGCGTTTATTAAGTAAAAGGCTACTTCAAATTAATTACTCACTAAGGCTTCGTTTGAGACAGCTTTTGTACCGCTTTTTAAAATGGCTTTATAGTACAAAAATTTCAAATTCAAAAAATTTTTATACTAAAAAATTATTTTAGAAAGCAATAAGAAAGCCGTCCCAAACAAAGCCTAATTAACTTTTAACTACATAAGCATCCTACTTAAAATCCCAATGATTCACAACAACTTAAGTGGTGCAGCTAATTCTATGATTTCAGCTAAGAATTTCTTCTATTATTTGGCTCAGCACATGTTGGAAACGAAAAACTATATCAGTAAAACTTCACTCTTTTCATTACGACCCTTGCCCTTTAGGCTTCGAAATTTCTAAATTATTAGCAGATTTCAGTGCATCTCTTAAAAACAAGCAGTAGAAAACTCTTGTTTGCCCAATATGTGATTTAGATCTGTCTTATTGCAGAACGACTGGCCTTGATACGACAGCAACGAGCAGAAGCCGCAAAGAAGCGTGAAGAAGAGAAGGCCGGTATGTTAAGCCTGGATTCGTTTGGGATATGACTTTTTTATTGCTTCTTAATGCATTTATTTTTTGCACTAAAAAGCTGCTTTAAGAAGCAGTAAGAAAGCCGTCTCAAACGTAGCCATTTTTTTATTATACTATCTACTTACTAGAGAGATGATTAGTTGCGGCTACGTACATAGCTCTTCGTACTTAAAAGGGGAATACAATTGCATGCTCTCATTTTACAGATGCAGAGCTACATACATAACTTGCACTTAATAATTTCTCCTACTTTCTATAGATTAGTTGAAGTTTTGTCTTTCTTAAAAAGCTAAAAAAAAAAAAAACAAAAAATTATAGGACTTATCAAATAACATCAACACTCATTCCATTAAATAATAATAATGCATTAAAAAAAATTTGATGGGATATTTTGATCAAAATTTTGATACTGACGAGTTCTACAATCATCTTTGGATTGCCACAACATTTGATTTATCATTCCTATATTATATTTATCTCAAAATAAATCTAAGGCTTCGTTTGAGACGACTTTTTTATTGCTTCTCAAAATAAAATTTTAATTTTTTTTTTATAACTGAAACTCCTTTAAATTGCAATAAAAAAGTCGTTCTAAATGAGGCATAAGAGTTCTAAAATTCATCATCAGCCAATTCTAGTTTGAATTTTCTCCAACAAAGCATAGAATATTACATATCCATATGTGCGTTCGTTCCTCTAAGGAGCTGCGCTTAATAATACTCGCTATTTATTTTCAATTGTGCAATTATGCCTTAAGTTGTTGGATTAGTCCTTCACAAGGCCAATATTTGGCCTTTGAAATGTTTGTTTTGCCAGCAAAGGAGCAGAAAAAGACTGAGGCTCGCAAGTGATCAGTGATGAAGAAAAGCTTTCTTCACACTCAGCAGCAGACTTCAAATGTTTGGCATAATTGATTATTTATGAAGAGGTTCTTAGCCTAAACACTGATTTATATCATAAACTCTGTATTATCTTTTTGTATTTGTATGCTATTGGATGCATATCATTTAATATCTTTTAATTAGAAGAAAGACTGTTATCTGCTTGAATTTTAGTCTGTGGCTTTATGGCTTTATTGATAAAAAAAGGGGAGGATGGGAGAATATATCATCTTATTGAACCTGATTTGAGGAAATTTAAAAGAAAAAAAAATATAGCTATATGAATATGATCGCTTTGTTTGGGGTAGTATTTTTTTCCATTATTTTTTCGTTACTTTTAAAGATTTTTGTACTAAGAAGTTACTGTAGAAAGTAGTTAAAAAACTATGACTTCATTTGAGACAATTTTTTTATTGCTTCTTAAAGTAATTTTTTAGTACAACAAATAAATTTTTTATACTAAAAAATTGCTTTAAAAAGCAGTAAGAAAGCCGTCCCAAATGAAGACTATATCAAATAAAGCAAAAATTTTTATTATAAGATTTGTATTGAAGTTTTGTATAATTTTTATTCAAATTTTGTATAATTAATTTTTATGTTCTTGTATTTATATCATAATGTTCTTTTATTGTATTTAATCATGAGATGTGTTTTTAATAATTTTATATTATAATCATCTTACAAATTTCATTCATATATTTAAGCTGTTTTATTGTTTTTTTTTTGCATATTTTTTACATGTCTTAAAAATTTTAATTAAATATATATGAATATATTAATAATAAAAATGTGAACATATTTAAGATGAGCTTGTGAACTTCCTTTCATTTGAGGCTTATCCAATTGAGGAGCTCAGCCCTGTTCTTATATAGATATAATAAGGAAACTATTATTCCAGGCTTGAAATTTCACCTTGATTGTTCAAAAATACTTTTGACATTGGTGGATGGATGGTATGAAATGATTATACAAAGTATCTATAATGGTAATTGACAAAGATTTATAGCCAAGGTTGTAAAAGCAGCCAGACATGAAAGTAAAAGAAAGAGTAATTAATAATTTAATGGTTAGATTGAGATTTAGCTTAAGGTCAAGGCTTCTTTTGAGAGATTTTTCTTCTTGCTTTCTAACATGTTGATGGGTTCGACCGACTCAACTGTGAACCGCCCTGATTAGCATATTTTATCGATTACCGCTTATCATTTCAATCAGTGAAACAGTGAACCGACCCCAGTTTAATTGAAGTGCTTGATTCACAATTTGAACCAATAATCACCATTAACTTTACATTCAAGGGCTTAAATTAATATTTTTTTTAACAAAATTAAATTTTATGTACTTTTTTTAATCTAAAATTGCTAATATGGTAATGCAAATACCTAAATCTAGGCCTCAATTCTTTATCTTTCACTTTTGCACATGGCGCATGATTCCCATCATGTGTGAGGGGTATATTATTCTGTGCGGAGTCCGGACGAGAAGAATCATCCAGACATATTAGTGTATACACTGTGTACAAATTTAAACATAGTGTGTATCAAATTTTTTACACATTGTGTATATATAATGTGTACACTCAAAGTCCGGACATTTCTTTTCATCCGGACTCCGCACAAAATAATTTCTCCCTGTTCGGCCATCTACCCCAGTCCAGTCCAATTTCTTATTCCTTGCTCAGAACATGATTGAAATAATAGCAAGCAAAATGATAACTTGAATTAAAAATGACATGAATTAGCTCCTAATCATCATTAAGAGTCTATTTAAGACAACTTTTTTCCTTACTTATCTTTTTAGATATATATCATAAATTTTCCTCACAATAGCTCTCTGCAACTATTTAAAAAAAAAAACTAGAATTGTCCCATATGAATCCTTTGTTCAGAACCCACAACATGTTCACAAACAAGCTGTGAGTAGCATTAAAGGCCATAATTGTCTATCAAAAGATCAGACTATGTTGATCCATGCAAAATAACTAAGGAAAAAAAAAAAAAAAAACACTAGAACATAAGGAGTCTGCTTGAATAGATAAAATATCACTAAAGGTAAAGAACCAACCAATAAATCATATAATCAGATGAAACATCATTACTGGAGTACCTGTTAAACCAGGAAGCAAAAGCTGAATGTGAAAAACAGCTAAAAAGCCTATAGTTATAGCTACAAGCAATACAACAATGAACACAAGCCATGAATAGAAAAGTCTTGATCGACTAAACTAAAACAGCAAAATCAAATCATCCAGGACAAACTCCCAGTATTGAGTAAATTTAAGGTGAAAATCACATTGAGTAAAAGTTGCGAAATTTAGAAGATGAGAATGGAATGCCTCACAGTGCAAGAAAAAGTTAAGCAGAGCAGCAGCCTACTTTCTTCAAAGCTGAAACATCATCTTTGGTACCAACATTGATTGTCTGCCCCTTTGGAAGAGCTGCAGGATCGTCACCAATGTCAAGAGCTTTCCTGCTCACGACACGATAGATCTGGGTGAGGACTTCGGTGAACGCATTTTCGACATTCAATGATTCGAGCGCCGATGTCTCCATGAAGAAAGTATTTTCCCTCTCGGCGAAAGCCTTAGCTTCGTCGGTAGGGACGGCCCTAAGGTGGCGCAAGTCGGCTTTGTTTCCCACAAGCATGATGACAATGTTGGTATCTGTGTGATCCCTGAGCTCCTTCAGCCATCTCTCAACATTCTCAAATGTCACATGGCGAGTAACATCATAAACAAGGAGTGCACCAACCGCACCGCGATAGTATGCGCTTGTGATTGCACGGTACCTTTTCGCAGTCCAGGCAGGAAAAGGAGAAAAAAAAAGTTAGTCTACTTAATGCTTCAGCAGTCAATATATATATATATATATATATATATATATAACATCAGCACTACCTAAGCATAAAGTTTAGAAAATTTAACATTGGCATCGAGGTGTCGAATTAAAAACAGCTAAAAAATAGCCGAGATATGGCACAGAAGTCTCAGTCACTATTTGGACAAAGATATATAGTGAACCAAAAAAAAAAAAATCCAGGAATTTTGTGCTGCAAAAGTAATTAAAGGAATTCACAGTTCAACTGAGAAAAAAAGGATTTACTCAATACAATTGACAATAAAGAGGTAGAGTACAATTAAGCATTAAGTATCGTTAAAATCCACTGTTAGCAGCTCAAAGGATCATAGCTTATAAGTTTTAAGAGTGGCAAATTATGCAATAAAAAAAAAAAGTTGCAAAAATGTTCAAATAAGCG